CAGTTATCATTACTACTATTTTAAAAATTATTTTGCCTTTTTCATATTGTTCTAGTCAAGTAGGCTTTCAACTGCTGCAAGCATGGGAGGGGTAGAATTCAGGGTGACAAGGAGAAGAAAAAAATTGGAATAGTCCCTGTAAGGAATGAGATAGGAAGTCAATAAGGAAGAGCGGAAAAACTGTTGAGTAGCCACAAGGGCCCAGCTGAGTTTACATGCCGTACACTTGTCACTAATGTGAATAACTTACATTTATATAGGTGTTTAAAGTAGTAACCCTATGAGGTAAGTTGTGTAATTATTAGTCACATTGTTTAGAATGAGTCTCACACATTAAATGATGACCACAGCTAGTAAGCTGGAAGCTGGGGTTTGAATTTCTCTCTTGGCTCCAGGTTTAGGGTTCTTTATAAAAAAAAAGTCTTTTAATTCTATTCTGCTAAATACAACCTTGTGGTATAGTGGAAACAGTGCTAGTTTTGAAATTAGAGGACCTTGGTTCAAATCGTGGCTCTCCCACTACTATCTGTGCGGCCTTGGACAAGTCACTTAGCCTCTCAGGGTCTCAGCTTCCTCAACTGTAAACTGAAGAAGTTGGATTAGGTGACCTAGAAAGTCCATTCCATCTCTAAAGCTATGATCCTATGAATTTTTGCCAATTGAGGCCTCTCTTTTCTGTACTTCTTCAATTTAATTTTTGAGCCTAAAACTATGAATTTACATCAATCTATGTTAAACTTTATCGCCTTGTTGTAAGTCTTGCATTCCAGCCTGCCAAACTCATTTGAAACTTCCATTCTGTCATCTATATCATTAGCTATGTCTACCAACTTGGGGGCATTTGTAGCTTTGGTAAGACTTCTATTTCTTCATTCAAGTCATTAATAAAACTAAAATCAAGATATTTCATCTAACAGCATTTAGTGTATGTATTGCTACAGGATAACTGGTCCCAAATTGATTTATTTTCATTGCTTCTCTCCCTCCCATCTCAGTTGTTGAAATAAAAAAGGAGGGCAGGTGATCAGAGAGATCAATTGTTAATTTGTTAATCTGCTAAACAAAATACAAAGTCTTGTCTATGACCAGTTATCCCTTTACAAAATGAGAAGTCTTTCCAGTGGAATTAGATGGGGAGTTAGCTACTGACTGAAGATTGGCCACGCTCTTGGCCACCTTTAGAAAACAAGCTTGCTAGCTCTGAGAGCCACAGTGAGGACAGAAACAGCTTTATTCTTGGCGGGTTTTTTTTTTTTTTTTGTTTTTGTTTTGTTTTTAGGCAGTTGGGGTTAAGTGACTTGCCCAGGGTCACACAGCTAGTAAGAGTCAAGTGTTTGGTCTGAGGCTGGTTTTAAACTCAGGTACTCCTGACTTCAGGGCCAGTGCTTTATCCACTGCACCACCTAGCTGCCCCCAGAAACAGCTTTACAGAAAGACTGTTCCTCTATCAGATGGTAGCAGGAGAGAGGGGACTTCTCTCCCCATTCCCCATTGGACATGACAGCAGAACTACTCATCCATTAAGAGACACATTATCCAGCATAAAGAGAAGACAGTTGAGACAATGGAGACAGCTCCATTAAGTATAAACCCTAGCAGCAGAGAAGAGAATTAACTATGGATTCAAGGGAGAATTAGCTCTGGGTATTGAGAGTAAAGGAGAAGGTCCAGAGTACCCAGCTAAATAACCCAGCAAAGACAATTAACCTGCCAGGTAGGGATTAACATGAAAATAATACCACTAGAAGAGAAAGGACATTGGGATAATACCTGCAGTTCTGGAGGTATGAATTAATTGCCTTTGTCACATATATTCCCTTGCATACCTCACTACTAGTACACTCTAAATTTGTGCCCACTCTTCTTAATGACACTCTGTATATTTGTAGCAGAATGAAACTGTGTTTATGGGTGTGATGTTATATAGCTACTGTTCTTACTATACTTTTGTTTTAAACTAATTTTATCTCCTGGATGGTTATTAAAAGGTAAGCATACCAGTGTGGGGGTTTCTGAGCTTTGAGAATGTAGATCCACAGAGTCATATTTTTCTTCTATACTAGTACTATTTGGAGGAGTAGTAGATATGTCAGTAACCCTATCAAAAGAAAAAATTGTGAAGTCAGCCTGATATGACTTGGTTTTAGTGAATTCATGCTGAGTTTTAGTTCTTAACACAACTTTTTCTAAATGCTCATAAATAATATATTTTAGAATTTTCCTATTGATGAATGACAAGTTTACTTATATTTTTAGTTTACAATCTTTACTGTAGTTTCTAGAATAATTTTTTCTTTTAAAAATGGAAGCATTTATCCATTTCCAGTCCAGTCTCAATCAATCAATAAACAATCATTAGGTGCCTGTAGAAGAACTGGTATAATCAATAGCTCAAGTGATTAAAAAGTATTTAGAAATTAAAGCCCTTTGTGGAAGTATATTGTTTACCTGTTCCATTTACTGGGAGGAAGGGAAGAAGCATCTCTGCTTGGTATCTTAAGAGACCCTAAAAACTGCCAAAAAAAATTTATCGAGCACCCAGCTGGGTACCATGCAGAACACTAGGTAAAAACGAACTTGAAAATCATCTAGTTACTACTGTCTCAGAGCTCTTACTCAAATGTTGGTGAGGGCACAGGCAATTACATATAAACACAGTTTAAAAGTATAATTATATTCATAATCAGTAACAACTGTGGACAGAATTAAAGCATTGCACAATGTAACCTTCCAACCACTTGGGGAGGTGATAGTGGAAAGAATGCGGAATTTGGAATCATTGGACCTGGATTCTAATCCAGCCTCTGCTGCTTGCTCCCTTGTGTTATTCCAGGTGCATTATGTGACCTCTCAGGGCCTCACTTTTCCTCCTCAATGAAATAAAGGACAGAACTACATAATTTCTAAGAACAAAGAACAGAACTATGTCTTTTTTTAATTTTATTTTGTCATCCTATAGAGTAAGGACCATCGCTATCTTAGAAAAAGGGAAACTATAACGAAGTGACTGTGTAACATTATATGGAAATCCTCTTCTATAGTTTCCTTTCTTTGTAATGGTTGCTTGCATACTGTTTCAAGTTACCTCTAAAAAAAAGTCTGCCTTGACCTTTGAAACTGTTAAGACAAATAAAGTAACTTTGTATACTTTTATGTAAGTATTGAAACTATATAATACTAAACACCCAAGGAATACAGTATTATGAGAAGTGGGTTTTCAACTGGCTGAGATGGCCCAGTATCGGTGCTTTAGTGATCTTTGAATTCCTAAATAAAATAGTAATGATGATACCCTTGACTTGTTTTTGGTTTTTTTTTGGTTAGGCAATGGGGTTAAGTGACTTGCCTAGGGTCACACAGCTAGTAAGTATTATGTGTCTGAGGCTGCACTTGAACTTAGGTCCTCCTGAATCCAGGGCCGGTGCTCTATCCACCTAGCTGCCCCTGACACCCTTGACTTAGGAGCAGAGAGCAAATAGCTTTGAATGTAGTACTGAAACAAAACAAAAGAAAACAAAAAGACTAATTGTCATAGTCAACTAGCATTTTATTACTTACCTACTTACTATGTGCCTGGCACTTTGTTAAGTGTTGGGGATACAAAGAAAGGCAAAAACAGTCCCTCAAGGGGTGTTCACATTCTGATGAAAACAAGATCTATATAAGATAAAGTAAAGATATTCTCGTAGAGAAGGCACGAGCATTAATGAGGATCAAGAAGAACTTTTTGCAGAAGGTGGGATTTTAGACTTGAAGGAAGCAAGGCTAGGCAAAAGATGAATGTGAGAAGGGACAGAGATCCAGGTAAGGGGATGGTCAAAAAGGCCCAAAGCTAGAAAGTGAAGCAAAATGTGCTAAGAACATTAAGGAGAACAATGTCATTGGATAAAGGACATTTTTTTACTTGGTAAAGTGTAAGAAGACTGGAAAAGTTGGAGGGGGCCAGTTTATAAAGGGATTTAAAAGCCTAACAGAGAATTTTATAGTTATATCTTTATCTTGGAGATGTGAGGAAAACACTGAATTGAGCAGGCTGGATGATATGGTTAGATCTGCACTTTGGGAAGATCATTTTGATAGTGGAAGGGAGGATGGATTAGAGTGGGGAGAGCCTTGAGGCAGAGTGACCCACCAGCAGACTACCGAAATAGCCCAGGCATGAATTAATAAGGGCCAGTGGTGGTTGTGTGCTTTAAAGAGAGGGGCACGAATATCAAAGATGTTAAGAAGATTGACTTGACAGAACAAATTAGATATGCAGGGTGAGGGAGTGTGAGGAGTTGAGGGTGACACCTTGGCTGTAAGCCTGGGTGTGTGGGAGGATGGAGTTCTCACCCACAGTAATAGGGAAGTTCAGAGGTGAGGGGTTTTGGAGAAAGATAATTCATTCTGTTTTGGACAAGTTTAAGATGTGTAGAGTATATTCAGCTGGACAGGTCTAATAGGCAGTTGGAGATGTGAAACTAAAGGTGAGGAGAGATTTGTGGCTCAATAAATAGGGCTGAGAATCATTGGCATAGAGATGATAATTGAATCCATGGGTATTGAGATCACCAAGTCAAATAATACAGAGGGAGAAGAGAAGTGAGCTCAGGACAGAGCCTTTGTTTAGACTCCATGGCCTGGATGAAGACCTAGCAAAGGAGACTGAGAAAGAAGTGGTCAGAGAGGAAGGAGGAAGACCAGAAAGATCTATATCAGTGAAATCCTAGGGAGAAGAGAGTATCAAGGAAAAGAAGGTAGTTAACAGTGTCACAGGACTGAGAAAAGTCCCTTAGACTCAGAAATTAAGATATCAATAGTAACTTTGGAGAGAGCAAGTTCAGTTTGTAACAGGTGCCATGAATGGGGATGGAGAAGAGATATCAGAGTTCTAGAATGGATCTGCAATCATTGTTGACTTAACCTAGGAGAAGCAGGCTGAGCCTGGAGTCAGGAGAACCTTTTTTAACCACAGGCCTGACACATTAGTAGTATCGTTATGGCCCAGAACATGTTTCCTCATCTAGTGGGAGGTGGCTTAGAATCTTATGGAACACAATTATTGAATGAGCTCTAAGGTCCCTTCCATCTCCTGTGAGGTGAGTATTAGCTGTTTCACAGCTAAGAAAACTCAACGATTTCAGGTCCCACAACAGGTTAAGTGGCACAGCCAAGACCGAGACACAGAATTCCTGACTCCCAGTCCTATTCTTTTTCACTAGACTCTGTACTGCAAATTGACGTGGAGTAGCAGCTCTGGCGCACCACATTGGCCCTATTTTAGGCAGTTACCTAACTCAAAAGAGGAACACAGACAAAGTGTTCTTGAGTACCCGAATTGAGGAGCTCAAGGAAGGATACCCTCCTTGTCTTGTCATTCCCTGAGGCAGCATGATCTAGGTGACTGAGGGAAGGGGCTCTAGCAAGGATGGGGGTAGAGCTGGGAGCTCTCTTTAAGGGGTACCCTGGAAAAAGAGGTCAGTGGCCTAGGCTGGGGCTTCTTGGAATACAATAGAAATATCCATCTCCATATTTCCTGAGAAAACCAGCCATGGATTCACTGCCACCCCCAAGGAGACGGCAAGGGTGGGGGCTTGGAGGGGGTTGGGGGAAACGTGTGGAAGGAGGCGTTTGTTCCGGGAGGGATTTAGGCGGCGCTTTCGCTTCTAATCTGCTTCGAGAACATCTGCCTCCGCTCCACTTGTCGGTGACATCTTGCTATGGTGGAAAGGTTTGAAGGACAGTTGCTCCGGGGATCCGCCGCTGTTACTACCCAGTTCGCTCTGCCTTTGGCGTAAAGGCTGCGCTCCAGTGGCAGGAAGGGAAAAGATCCAGAAAGGCTGGGGAGAAGAAGGTAAAATGCGCTCCCTCCAAAACAAAAACCCAATCCCATCCCCCACCCACGCCCAAATAACCATGCCCACATTCCCCACTCTGCGGAATGCTTCTTGCATCCAAGACCCCTCTGGCCTCCGAGACAAATTCCCTCAGAACCCCGACGCACACCTGTCTCCCAGAGGTGTCACCACCTCCCAGCTCCCCCAGACCACCCCTGCCGGGTTTTATGTCACCCCTTCCCCCAAGCTCACTCTGGGGCATCAGCCTCTCACATCTTCCCTCTACGCATCCTCTTCCCCATAGAATGCTCCTTACTCAAAGCAGCCTCCTCTCTCGTGCCCAAATGACATCCACCCGCTTGTCCTCCTTCCCCTTTCCTCCCCCTCTTTCCACTCCTCGGTACCCAGACACCCTGACCTCTTCTTCCCCTTCCGTAGATATGTCCTATGCCAGTGCAGTGCCTTTCCTTTCTCCCTCCCTCCCTGCCTCCATCCTCCCTAGCTCCTCCTTTACCCCGGTCAGAGGAGGCCTGGGCAGCCTGCAACAGCCCGGGATGGCGAACGTCTTTTCCTCGCTCTTCTTCCATTTCGGGGCTCCTCCCCCAGGCCTACTCCGCCATGTTCTCCTCCCCCAGGCTTCAGCCCCGGCCCAGTCCAGCCTTGATCCCCGCCTCTCCGGGGCGGGGCCCCGCACTTTTAAATGTAGCGGCGGGAGATGGTGGTGAGTTGGTTGGGGGAGGGGCTGATTTGTGCCCAATTGCGACTGGAGCTTCATCTTTGATCCTGGGGGTGGGGGTGCGTCGCAGGTAGGCTAAGAGAGCGACGAAGCGGCTGCCAAGAACAGCTCACCTTGGAATAAACCTGAGGAGGAGGAGGAGGAAGGAAGGCAGTGGCCCGGGGCCTGCCTGCCCCGCCCGGCTGGCTCGGCTCTGGCCAGGACCATGCATTCCGGGAGCAAGGTGAAGAGCGAGTACATGAAGCGCTACAAAGATCCCAAGTGGGACACTTGCGGCCCGTGCTACCGGGAGCTGCTGCACTATCGCCTGAGCCGGCGGCTGCTGGAGCAGACGCACAACCCCTGGTTGTGGGACGGTTGGGGGCCGTCCAGCAACTCGGACGATTCCTCGTCTTCGGGGGGTGGCGGGGCCTCCACGCCCCCGGGCCCTCAGGGAGCTTCCACCTGGTCTCCACCTCCGACCCCACCCAAGCCCCTAGGAGAGGAGAGGAGGAGAAGGAAGCCGGGGTCTCTGAGGATGAGGACTCTGCCAGCCTCCCAGGTAAGTGGTTGGTAGGCTAGAGCCGGACGTGTGCGCCAACCCTAGTCATGGAAATTTGGTGGGGTACGCTCTCGTTTATCAAGTTGTTTCTGAGATCCGCGTGGGAGGGTGGGAGGGTGAGAGAGGGACTTCCCCCTCCCCCACCCCCCTTACTGCCTTCTCCTTCCCACTACGCTCATTCATCTCCAGGACCCAAAACTCACACTCCACCTTCCCCCGCCCCCTGTCTCCACCTCACGCTACCTGTTAACTTGATGAGCAAAATAGGGCGATCAGCTGTCCTCCTCTCTTGTTTCCCTAGTAAGGCTGCTTTGCTTTGGCGTCTTATTAATTTGGTTGTTGCTTGGCTACCTCCACTAACCTCCTCCGCTGCTATGTTCCCAAAGAACAATAAGAAATTTGTTTAAACAGTCATTTTGTTTCTTGATCTGTGTTAAAGCCTGATTATGAAAGATACCTTTTTCTTTATCTCATGTTTTTTACATCGCCTCCTTTCCAAATTCGTCCCTTCCTCTTCCCCTACTCAGAGACCCATTCTGTGTACCAAGGAATACAAAAGGAGCACGAGGCAGGGTGAGGGTGGGGGTGGAGGGAAAGGGGGGGGAGGAGGAACAAAACTAAACCAGACGCTGCCAAATCTAACTATAAACAATGCTCCATATCCATAAATCTTCATCTCTGCAAAGAAGGGAGGGAGGGTGCGTTGTCTCATTTCTTCAGGTCAAGCTTGATCATTTATAAAATTACATAGAAATTATAATCATTGTGAATATTTTTCTGGTTTTGCTTACTTTGTTTTTCATTAACTCATAATGCTGTTTTCCCATGCTTTGAATTCTACATAATCATGTTTTTAAGGGCCCTATAATATTCCATTACATTAATATGCCACGGATTTGTTTAATTTGTGTGAAGGGCTTTACATGCTGATCAAAAATTGTTCATTACCCTAAAGATAAGAGGGAGCCACTGAAGCTTACTGAGCAGGGGAGTGACCTGTGTTTTAGCGATATTAATTTGGCACCTTGGAGAGAGATGGGGATGGGCTGAAGGCCTTATTAGTAGGATATTGAAATAATCTGGATGGCAGATGATGAAGGATGAAGAGAGGAAGAGGGTCAGGACAAATGTGGTGGAGAAAGAATCTGCAAGACTTAGTAATTTATTACATTTAAGGCAGGAAGGGAGAGTTAAGAGTCAGGAATGATTACTAGCTTACCTACCTGGAAGTAGGCGTAACAATCCACAGAAATAGGGAAATTAGCTCAAAAACTTTACTTACAGTTAAGCGATCTTCATGTTTTTCTTTCTTTTCCCTTCTCTCTCCCTCTCCTCCCTCTTACTCACTTTACCAGTGTTATTGGGAGGAAATGCTGAACACATTTTCTGCCTGTTTGCTTGTTTTAGGGTTAATTGAAGAGAGGAAGAAATCTGGATCTCCTTTCTCCTGTTCTATTTTTTTATTTAACAGTTTGAACTACACCATTTTGCATTGTGTTTTTTGTATTGTTCTCTAATAATTTTCTGTAATTACAGGCAAGAATGTTAAGGTCTAAAGAAAATAAGTGACTTGTCTAAGGTCACAGAGTTAGCATAGCTTGCAGTAGAAACTAGGTCTTACAACATTTAAACCCATGTTTTTTGTGTTCAACCGAGAGCTCGACCAGATTTTAGAACTACTACTACTAGTACTACTACTACTACTAGTACTACTACTACTTCAGCAATTGGGGTTAAGTGACTTGCCTAGGGTCACACAGCTAATAAATGTTAAGTGTTTGGTCTGAGGTTGGATTTGAACTCAGGTCCTCCTGAATTAAGGGCAGGTGCTTTATCTACTGCACCACCTAGCTGCCTCCAGATTTTAAACTGATGTCCCCTCCCATATCTCTGGACAGAGAGCTTGAAGCTTGTCACAAGTCCAAGGCTGATTAAATGCCATGTATTTTGGGCTGACTGGATTTGTTTTCATTGCTAACAATCCAAAAGAATATAGATTAGTTTGATCTTGTGGAACACACTTTGGAAATCTGAATTTATGTTACAGGTAATTTTGCAAAATCATATTTAATATAAGGCAGCTCTTGGTGGAGTACAAAGAATATTAATCTAAATATCATGAGACCTAGTTTCTATTCCAAGTTATGCTAACTCTGTGACCTTGGGCAAATCAGCTAAACTCTTAGGACCTTAACTTTCTCATCTGTAATAACAGCATTAGCCTAGGTCAGTGTTCTCCCAAGCAGGAGCCAGCTTGAAACCAAGGAGAGTGAGATCAACTAATTGGAGAGTAGGAAGATGGCTTACATCTAATCCTCTCTGCAATAGATAGTCATGGGCTTTGTTTGCAGTACAACCACATCTACCCTTCACTCATTACTGCCCAACTCACCCCTACTTTCCTCCTTCCTGGGCAAAGCTCCCAACCTTCTCCCTTATGGGTTGTGGTGGCCCTTCAGGCTTAGGTTATAACAACCCCCATCTGGGCACCCAGAGTAGCAGCAGCAGTAGCTGCACAGATGACATTGGGAAAATTCCACTCTCCCCCCTCTAATCCTCCAGTATACCCCAAGGAAAACAATTTACAGATAGAGATGCTTATTCAAAAAAGTCTAGATGTCATTGGCCTCTAAGCTATACCTCTTAGTCTTAACAGTCTATTAGCAGTGTTAACGTAGTGTAAGAAACCATCAAAGTGGCATCATTAAAAAAAATACAGCATATTGACTACAAAATGGCCTTAGAAGGAAGAAAAAAAGCAGAAGGTAAAAAGCCAGCATGTTGTGAGTGACATGTAGTGAGGCAGATGGAGGCTTTAGGTAAGGATGTGGGCTTTCGTACTAAATTCTGAAGACCAAATATATTAAAACATCTACATTCTCTGAGTGGCAGTTCACAGCATATATTCACAGTCTAACTTTGGTAAGCTCAAGCTTACCAAGGTTAGATATACTCACACCTCTTTATTAACTATAATTGGAGAGGGCATATGTCTTGCCTTCCCTCCTTGAGGATCTTCAGTGACTTCCTGTTGCCTCTAGGCAGCTAGGTGAAATAGGGGATAGAGTGCTGGGCCCTGAATCAGGAATACCTGAGTTCAAATCCAGACTCAAACCTTACTAGCTGTATGACTGGACAAGTGACTTAAGCCCTGTTTGCTTCAGTTTCCTTAACTGTAAAATGGAGATCACAGCAATACCTACATCATAGAGCTGTTGTGAAGATCAAATGAGATAGTATTTGTAAGGTGCTTAGCACAGTGCCTGGCACTACATAAATGCTTATTCCCTTCCTCATCTAAGACAAAATTACAAATTCTTCAGCCTAGCATAAAAAGCCCTCTCCAACCTGGCTTTAATTTATCTTTCCCTCCTGCTTTCATATTATTCCTGTTTAAGCCAAGCTGTCTAATTGGTGTTTTTCAAACTCCCATTTCCAGCCTCCAAGTATAGTAGGCTTGCTCCTCATGCTAGAATCCTTATCTTCCTTCAAAGTCAGCTTATGTACCACTTCTTCCAGGAAGTGTCCCCTGATTCTTATTCCTACTATTGTTAGTGCCCTCTTCCTCCCCTCTAAAATTATCTTGTATTTGTTTTTCTGCATATGTGTTCTTTTCCCTCATTAAACTGTAAGTTCCTTGAAAGTAAATTGATTGGATGTATGGGATGATTAAGAGTGAGGTTTGGAGAATGACTCAACTGAGGTTCAGGGCCTGGATGGCTAAAAGGATGGTAGTGTTCTTGATATAGTTACCGGGAAGTTTGGAAAAGGTGTGGATTTGGGAGGAGGGAATGGTGAGCTTTGTTTTGGACACGTGTTTGAAGTGTCTATGGGACAGCTTGTTCCAGATGTTCAGTAGGCAGTTGGTGATGATGGGAGACTGGAACTCAGGAGAAAGATTAAATTGGTTTTCTAGACCTAGGAGTCACTTGTGTAGAGTTGACCACTGAAGCCGTGGAAGCTGATCAGGGCAGCAAATGAGAGAGTACAGAGGAAGAAAAAAAAAAAAGGAAGAGGCCCAGAATAGAGCCATGAGTCATACCCATAATTAGTGGGTGTGGCATTGATGATGATCCTGAGGAGGAGATTTGAGAATGAGTGGAGGAGAATTAGGAGACAGTGGTGCTGGGAAAACTGAGAGGACACTATGTTCAGAAGGAGAGGGTGGTCAATAGTATCAGATGCTGCTGCAGAGAAGTCGAGAAGGATGATAATTAAGAAGAAGGCATTAGATTGGGTAATTAAGAAATCATTGATAACCTTGGAGATTGCTAATGATGAGGTCAAAAATAAGATTGCAGAAGGTTTAGAAGAGTGAGATGAGAGGAAGTGATGACTTTTTCTTTTTTTTTTCTATTTTGCTAGGCAATGGGGTTAAGTGACTTGCCCAGAGTCACACAGCCAGTGAGTGTTAAGTGTCTGAGGTCGGATTTGAACTCAGGTCCTCCTGAATCCAGGGCCAATGCTCTATCCACTGCACCACCTAGCTGCCCCCCAGTGATGACTTTTTCAAAGGAGTTGAGCTTAGAAACAGGAGAGATAGATGTAGGATGATAGCTAACAGGGGTAATGGGATCTAGGGAGTTATTTTTTTTCTTCCCAGTTTTTGGAGTAAGAGGAAGGAGGTTCATTTTGTGTGAAATACTCATATTTGGATTACCAACTTTTGTCTTTGCCCATGTCTGCCACAATGCCAACTTATTAATGTTTAGAACAGAATCTAAAATTTGCCTTTTAAAATAGACTTGTATGAGAGAATTATCTTATCTTTTAAATTATCTTATCCTTTAAAATTGTGATTTTTATTGTTATTGAATTTTACTGTTTGTCTTGAAACTGTTTTTTAGCAAAAGTGTTGATCTACAAAAACTGTTAAATATTGAGAAAAGACTTCTCATGTATAAATCAGATCTACAAATCCTCTGTTTTCTGTTTTCATTCCAAGAGAAAATGTGTGGGTTGCTCAGAATTGAACACAGAACATTTTCACCACTTAGTTTTTCAGCCTTGGGATTGAATTTCAACACCATAAAATTCTCTGTTCCTATGGGATCAATTAATAGATAAGCATGTCTCATTATTTTGAAAGTGGAAAATTTCTAAAATTAGTGTCAGTTCAATTTAATAAACACTTAAGTGCCTACTATGGTCAAGGTAGTTGTTGGGGACACAATATTTCAAAATAAATCTTTGTCCTCGAGATACTAACATTCTAGTGGGGGGTGGGATGGGGTGGAATATGAAGAACATGTACACAAGTTGTTGTGAATACAGTTAGAATGCAAATGTGAGTTGGGAAAAATGCCTTAAAAATTGGAAGAGGGATACATTGCTTTCATTTTGAATACAGATGTTTTGGAAAGTTTCACAGAAAAAGTAGCATCTGTGTCAGACCTTGAAGAAAAGGAGGGATTAAAAAAAAAGAGATGTCAATGGGGAGTCTTGTTTCAAACATAGAAAATGATGTGAGCAACAGTAAAGAAGGTAAGAGATGGAGAATAGTCAAATTTGAGATAAGGCTGAATCCGGTAGGTCATATTGTGGAGGACTCTGAATCACCAGTATCAGTCGTTTAAATCAAAGACGGTATTAATATGGTAGGCATAAGGGGGAGTCACTGAAGATATTTAAGTAGAGGAGCAAGAAGATTATAATGGTGCATTAGGAAGATTACTCAGGTACATATGGAGGATGGACTCTAGGAAGGAAGGGCAGTTAGGATACTGTTCCAAGAGTCTAGGTGAGAAGAGCTTAAGTCCTCAACTATGGTGATTTCAGTGGGAATGGATGTCTACAAAGGGGGTCCTTTTACACCATTATTAGAGACTGAATACTCGTTTGGATAGACAATGGGTCCAATCCCTCATAATCCCTCTATTGGAAAATGCTGTTGTTAAGATACAGGATAATCTTTCAACTTTTCGAACTTTCTTTGGGGAATTCACAACAGGTTAGCTGAGGTAGTAACCATGGAAGTACATCCATTATTATGATTTGAACAGTTGTAAAACTAAGGAACCAGCAAACCTATGTAAATTTCATTCAGGAATCTTCCAGGAGGAGGACTGAAACTGCAATTAATTGTTTTCAATATTTTAAGATGCTAAATAAGTATAAAAGTTTTTTTCTGAAATAAGGCACTAAAATAAGACATGCTTTTCCCTGAGCAAAATCAATATTGACCAAGAAGAGTAATCCTTTCTGTTTCTGTTTTGTTTTATTTGTATTTGCAAGGGGAGTAGAAGTGGGCTGTTTCAATAGAAAAAGCACTGGACTTGCAGTCAGAAGCCCTGGGCATCAGTTCTAGCTCTGATGTTGTGGCCATGGGAGATTTGTTCCAGAACCTTTCTCTAAACTCCAGTTTCCTCACTCATAAAATGAGGATACTCTAATGTACCATCTACTACTGCGCAGGAGTTGTTGTTAGTGAAATGTTTTTGTAAACTGCAAGTGGTATCTGTCTAAATGTGAGCTACTATTGTTTCGTACTGGGTTGAGACTTCCCTGTTTCTATCTTGGGTGCCACCATTCGCCCAGTCTTCCATGTTAGAAACACATGTTGTGTAGGTTTTTGTTTTCTCCTCCTCTTTACCAACTCTCTCCCCTAATCATATTTCTAATTCTACCATATTTTTCTCATTGTTTTTTACTGCTACTACCTTGATTCATTCAGATCCTCATTAGCATCTTCATTTTTCAGTAGTCTTCCAACAGGTCATTGACTCCATTTTCTCTCACTTCTAACTCATTCTTCACACAACTGCCAAGTTCATCTTATACATAGATTTGATCATGTTCCCTCTGTTTAAAACTCTTTGGTAACTCTTCATTGCCTTAAATCCATAGCCTGGCATTCAAGGTTCTCCATGATTGTGGTATATATTATTCTATCTTTCTGGCCTCATTTTGAATTATTTCTCCCCAACAAGTATGCTCCAGCCAAACTAGGCTTGTGCTGTTCATCTTCTGCCTTGACTCATGTATTCCCTAAGTCTGTCACGTCTTCCCCTATCATCTCTGTTTGTTGAAATCCTATCCTTCCTTTAGGACCTAGAACAAATACTGCATCTTATAGAAGTCTTTCCTGAGCTCCAATTTCTTCCCCTCCTTCAGTCACGCAAACTTGGTTTTCTATCTTTCTTTGTGTACTTTATGTGTCATTTTGTATTCTAGTGATTTGTGTATGTGCTGTAACCAACTCCCTACTAGACTGTGAGCTCATGAGGACAGAGGGATAGTCTTGTTTTTCTTTATATCTCTCCTAAACCCTCTAGCATAAGTAGATGATGCATAACAAAGAAATGCCTGTTCTAGTTGTTGTTGATTTCATTTTCAGGATTTCAGAGTCTAGTTCTCATCCACCTTTCATTCTTGCCAGTCCTCTGCATTTAATGCAGAGATTAATACTCAAAACACATACAATTTATATCATTTGAACCTACTGTTCTATCAGTGCATTCCTCAAGTTTTTTTCTTTTAAAAATGAGATAAATTCAAGTGTTAAAGATTTTTTAGATTCTAAATAGTTGTATTTCTTTTCTCCCCAATTAACATACATTTATTTTCTCTCTCCTACATTCTCCTCTCCTCTAATGAGCAACAACAAAAAGAAAACTAAAACCTTCGTAACAAATACGTTCAGTCCAAAAATGCAAGTCTCATTATTCTGTATTCTGAGTCTGTCATCCGTATGCCAGGAGATGAATGCTGTTCTTCATCTTCAGTCCTTTAGGGTGGTGGCTTGTCTTGCATCATCAGAGTTCCAAAGTCTTTCAAAGTTACTTTTCTTTATGATGTCATTGTATAAATGGCTCTTTTAGTTCTCACTTTACTCTTCATCACTAAATTTCTTTTGTTAACTCATATAGTTACTTGTTAAATCACTGGTGTCTATATTTTTTCATCAGATATATAAATTTACATGTAATCAGTGGGCATAGTGGATAGAGTGCTGGGTCTGGAGTCAGGAAGACTGAGGTTCAAATCCAGACTCAGATATTTTACTAGATGTATGACCTTGGGCATGTCATTTAACTTGTTTGTCTCAGTTTCTTCAATTGTAAAACTGAGATCATAATAGCACCTACATTTTGGGATGGTTTGTAAGGATCAAATGAGATAAAATTTGTAAAGTGCCTAGCATATGCCTGGCAAATAGCAGGCAAATGATAGCTACTATTATTATTATTATCATTATTATTATCATTGTTGTTGTTATTTTCCTTTTTCTTTAGACCTCTAATTATGATACTTTTTTTTAAAGAAACACCTGGAAAAGATACACAAGAAAAAAGTAAACAACAGAGGGAAGCAAAAGAACAGAGAGAAGTGAAAGATACCACTGAGCATCCTCGCCAACGTGCCTTGCTTGCTAAAGCAGATAAGAAACCGGCTAAAAGTCCTCAAAGACCAAGTAAAACAAAAGAAATCAAACATCCATTTGCTCTTTATGGCTGGGGAGAAAAACAGACAGATACTGGGAGCCAAAAAACTCATAATGTACGTGCTTCTGCTTCGGCAAAACAGGTAAGTTCCCTTGGGTGATGAGCTCACTTTTCACCTCATCTGGAAGAGAGGAGAGGCTGACAACATTTATAGCATAAAGCACTGCTTTCCATCCAGCATCCTGGGACATTCCCACATTAATCTTTCTGGGTCTTGGGATGCAGCTGGATGAGGCAGGCCAGCAAAGTCCAGGGCCCCAAAGGATGTATATATAAAGTCTGTACAACAAAGACTCGCAGTCAAGAGGTCAGTTAATAATTCAGATTTATGCACTAATTTAAGGCTTGTAGTTTCTTCCCAACAACTCTGTGGGGTTAGGTAGAACAAGAATTATTTTTCCCACTTTTTAGAGGTGAGGAAATGGAGACACCCAAGAGATAAGATGACTTGCCCATAGTCAACCCAATTAATGAGTTGGAATTCAAGCTTAGGTCTCCTGATTTTGAGTTCGTTTTCTTTCTGTTCTACCACATTGTTTCTTCCCTTTTCCCCATGCAGTTAGCACAGGAAAAGGATATAGCAATATCATAAATTCAGGAAAGAAGAGACTCTCTAAGGGGTTCAGGAAAAAAAAAGCAGGTAATGGATTCCAGGTAGGAAGAATTATTATTAGAATATGCAGTAGCATAAAGCAAGAAGGGACAAACAAATTAGAATGAATAAACAAGAGCAATGTTGACTTCAGAGAGTAAGATTCTCTGCTTTGATTTTATTCTCCTTTCTAAATGTGGAGGCAGGCAAGCATCTGAATATAAGAATAGAGAGATCTTTGTAGGTTCCAGGAGCTCCTTATTAGAGTATGAGATATAGACTTTCTAAAATATTCAGTTACAAGTATGTAAGTAGCATGCTGTGAAGCTGTCTTTGGTGTCACAAAATGCTGGGTTTCCTTTATCTCTTTTTGCCCATTTTTTTGACCAAAGGGGTTGAGACAAGAAGGTGAATTGTTTGTCTCTGTGTGTGTGTGTGTGTGTGTGTGTGTGTGTGTGTACGTGGGTACACACACTTTGTTTCCTACAAAACCAGTAATTGTTGTAGACACTGGGAACAGAACCTCCTAGGATATTCTCTCCTTCAGCTTTGCTAAGCTAGCTATCTTGGGTGTTGAATCTTTGTGTCACAGTGAGAAGTGTTAATATACAAATCTCATATCCCAGTAGTTACTGAAACTCATATGGAACCCTTTATAGTTTTTGCTCAAATGTCCAGTATTATCATGCTCTTTTATTCTCTCCCCATATATTATAGCTAATGTGTTTAACTTCTAAGAACTTGTTTCTCTATACCATAATTACACTTCCTTTTAGACATTCCTAAACTTAATTACTTATCCCCTTACACTTTAGTGAGTGAGCCCTGAAGACTGATTTCTGAGCATCCTGGTTTCTAAGTAGTTTTATGGGAAACAATATTATTATTAATAATATATTAATAGCTTAGAAAAAACTCCTTTTTTTTTCTTTTTAACATCGAGGGGCAAATTCTTAGTTTAGGTCAAATTTCATTAACAACAACAAGAGTCTTGGCTTAACAAAATGCTTTCAAACCACAGCTGTAATGGTCTTTTAAAAAAATGTTTGGACATTTTGGTAAAGAATTTGGATAGCAGCCACATGGAATTAATAATGCAACAACATTTTACCTGTAGCATTTTGATATTTCTAGCTAATTTACTGAACTATAATCTTAAGAATTCACTTGGATGGTTAGTCTGTACTGAGTCTAAAATAAATGTAAATTGACTTGGAAAGAGGAGTAGGCAGGGTTCTGAATATAATCCAACCAAAGTGTCAGATTTTGTTTGTAGATTATTTGAGCCCACTTTGAATTTCAGAAATTTTTGCTTTATGACTTGTAGTGATAGTGGCAAGTATCTGATCTCATTTAGGACTTACCACAGAATAGCAAACAATTTTTAGGTTATTTAGTGTAGCATTTCCAATAAAAGCCCATATATATCCAGATCTCTTGGGACTAAGCCAGTCAGAGGAAAATTCAGAGTACAGATATGCTTACGCATTTATAATATATACTGTGATGCACTTATGTTTCCATGTAATCTGATGTAGAGGTAGATAAACTGTCATAGTAGAATATTTTCAATACTATTCCCACTAAACTTCAATGTAAACACACAGGAGGAGTGTTTAATATTCAGCTTCCTTTATGTAGGTCAGCTGGAATTCAATAAATGAGCTTGGTATTGAATTTAACCTTTGAGTGGGGGGGAAATAATGGAAGAATAACTCTTTTAGGGATCAAGAAAGATGAAGAGTCCACATACATTATGTAAATAGAAAAAACTATATTCCAAATTTTAGTTTGGCAATAAATAGGAAAGATTTATTCAAGGAAAAAGCACTTGTTTTCTAATGCCTAGTGGTTCAAGAAATGGTATGATTTATTTTATTCTGAGTGAACTAACATACTCAGGCATTATTCACCACCATAGGAACACTGGCACTAGTCTCACCATCTCCTGACTTTCTTCATCTAACCTATCCTGCTTTATAGGCCACTATGCCATCTTCTTTTTTCTTTTTCTTTTTTTATTAATTTATTTTGATTATCAGCAATCACTTCCATATGCTTTTGAGTTTAAAATTTTTCTCCCCCCCCCCCCTCCCCACGATGGTGCACAATCTGATATAGTAAGCCATCCTCTTAATATATATTTCATCACTTCCCAACTCAGAAAACTTCCCTGGCTCCCTATACCCCACAGAGTAAAATCCCAACTCCTTTACCTGGCACTTTATGCCTCTGTGATTAGGCTTTCACCTCCTCTTTCCATCTTCTCCGCATTTCCCCTGCCTCTCTCCCCCAACAAATGTATACCCTTTTCTAGCTATTTCAATACATCTAGGTGGCACAGTAGATAGAGGGTCAGGCCTAGAGTCAGGAAGACATCTTCCTGAATTCAAATCTGGCCTCAGAGACTAGCTTTGTGACCTTTGACAAGTCACTTAACCCTGTTTGCCTCAGTTTCCTCATCCAAAAATGAATTGGAGAAGGAAATGGCAAACTACTCCAGTATCATTGCCAAGAAAACCCCAAATGGGGTCACAAAGATCAGAAAATGACTGAATATAAGCTATGTCAATCTCACCATTCTCAGACAAGCTCAATTTCATTCTGGTCTTTACTTAAATACATACTAAGGCATTGGGGGAGGTAAAAAAGATAAAATGGGTTGACACTACATTTTGAGAAACTTTAATTCCAGGCCATACTTAACTAGAACAGATTCCTTAATTCATCTAGTTTCAGCATTTATTATGGATACTAGAGTGTGCTAGAGAATGAAGTTAGGGAACACCCATCCCTAAGGGGCAGCATGCTATGGTGGAGATAAGCACTAGCTTTGGAGTCAGAACTCCAGGGTTCAGATCCTGGCTCTGCCACTTGACTGTCATGTGACCTTGTCCAAGTTGCTTTACCTCCCTGGGAGGGCCTTAGTTTCTTCTGGAAATGAGAGAATTGAATTAAATTATCTCTCTGGTCCCTTTTAGCTATAAATATATGATCCTAAAGGACCATAGTGGGGTAATCTTCCTGGGGTGGTTTCAGGGCTCTTCTGCACTAAAAAATTTATGAAATTTCTTTTTTTTAAAGTTTAGTCTAATGTTTCACAAAGTCCATTACTTCCTGATAACCTTCCTGTAGAACCCTCTCTCATTGCAAAGAAAAACCAGTAAACAAAACAAACTAACACATCAATTATATCTGATGCTGTGTATATGCTGGATTTCATACCTGGAGTCCACCATCTCTACTGAGAGGAGGGAGATAATATTTCATTATTAGCCTTCAGAAATCAAAGACTAGTAACTTCATAGGTGGTATAGTGGATAGAGCACTAGACCTAGAGACAGGAAGACCTGAATTCAAACCTGGTCTCAGACACTTACTAGCTGTGTGACTTTGGGCAAGTCCCTTAACCTCTGTTTTCCTCAGTTTCCTCATCTGTAAAATAGGAATAATAATAGCACCTATCTCTCAAGGTTATGAGGATCAAATGATATAATGATTATAAAGCACTGCACAGTTCTGGGCCCAGATTTAGAGGTGAGCTGTCATTATTATCATCTGAATTATGTCTTTTATTATTGTTTCCCCTTTACATTATTGTAGTTACTGTATATAGTATTGTCTTGGTTCTGCTTTCTTCAAAGTCATATATTCTTTCTAGCCATTAAAATCCCCTTGTCCTTCATGAATCATTATGAACTAGGATTCCTTTCAGTTCTGAAATTCTCTGAATTCATTAGAAGACTAATAAACGGGCATGATCACTGCTAACAGTTCTATCATAAGTTCACCAAAGTCAAGGTTTTAGTTGCATCTCTAAAAATTGGGCCTGTGGATATAAAAAAATTCTTTGGATTTTTTGAACTGGATCTATAATTTTGTGAGTATGGGCAAGTGCTAATGAGGGAACTCCATCTACCAAAGCAGATAGGCACCTCCTTTGCAACTTAATCTTAGAGAATTTTCTAGAGCACTGAGAAGGTTGAGTGACTTGCCTAATATTATGTAGCCAGTATATGTCAGAGGTTACACTTGAACCCCAGGAATTTGTAAATTTGAGGCAGCCTCTCTCTTTTTATGCCTTCTAATTTCTTTCATCAATTCATTAACTATTTTTTGTTTTGTTGTTTGGTTTAGACCCATGATTTCCTTAGTGTGGGGTATTCTTGGCATGGGAACTCCCTTCACTGATGCAGAGTAGCATTTCTTCTTCAACTTTAACCTAGTCTTAGAGAGATGCTAGTGACTCTAAGAGGTTAAATGACTTCCTTGTCCACTGCTACACAGCTAGTATGTTTCAAAGTCAGGACTGTCCACTATCTCATGATGCTTTTCCTTCCATTTGTTAAATACATTTAAATCCTTATTTGATTTTATTCTATTTCATGAATCAGTAGGCTGGCTTTAAGAAAAAAAATAGTCTTGACTGAAATAGTATTTTGTTAATGCCAAGACAATTTGATTTTTGATACTTAATTTTTTTTAAACCTTCACAGATTCATGAATCAGCATTACGAGCCAAGAACAGAAGACAGGTAGAAAAAAGGAAACTGGTCATTCAGAGGCAAAGAGCCTATTCTGTAGATGCACAGAAACCCAGAAGAATCAAGCCTTCCTCTGCAGATAATCCATGGATGACAGAATACATGAGATGCTACTCAGCAAGAGCTTGATGAAAGAAAAATGTGCTTCTATAACCTCATTAAAAACAACAGGATGTTGGTTTAGAAAACCAAATGATTATGTAAGGTTTTGTTTAGGGGGGGTTCCCAAAAGAGTCTTTTTTTAAATGTATTCTGGTAACCTGCCTCTGTTGTAGGGCAGATAGCTGAAACCATAGACACTTGAAGTTATTCATGATGATCATTCCCTAAGTCTTTGGTATTCTTGAGTTTGTGAAGCATCTTAATCTTTGGAGAAAATGACACCAAATGACTTTTAAGTGGCAGTTTTATAAGATGCTTAGTAATCAGTATTTCATAATTGCAGAAGAAGCCCATTGTCTTTCTCTCTTGAACATCAACAAACTCAAGCCGGTTTTCAATTATGTGAAATTTTACCAAGTGCAAGAATTAATAGCTAAAGGACAGTAATTTCTGATAGCTGTTCTTTTAATGCCTACCAACTCCTGAAATGAGTTCTGGTAAAAACTGAACTTACCCCATTTTTTTTAACCTGTTCATTTACTGTTTCATGTGGATAGGAACATTCAACATTTTTCTAGGGTTGAACTTCACTTTTTCTCCCTACTGTGGCACTTATTATTTTTAATACCCCAAACACATTCCATTTGAGAGATATCCATGCAATAAATATTAGGGTAGGACTGAAGTTTCTTTGCGTCAAAGACTGTCACTAACTAAGTTTTCTACTGCAGAACTTTTTCTCACTGAGCACACTCCTAGTGACTTCAGACCTGCTGGCCTGATTTTAATCATGTGCTTTGCCACTTGTATACCGGTTGGATTTTAAGAATAAATGGGCTTCAGAGCAGTAAGTTTTAGAATTTATACTCAAACTTAGAATAAATTTGTAAGTATTGAGGTTCTGGGACTTATCAGGAAGGGGCATCTTTTAGAAATTATGTCAGGACATCACGGGTATAGCCTCATTTCTACTTGCATTGCTTTCCTTTCCAAAACTAGTTCAACAATAAGTAAACCTTGGTGTTATGCAGTCTTCCTCAGACTTATTAATTCACTGGCATTCCTTATTTGATATTCTTGACAGGACATAGTCTCAGGGAAGGGGTGTATGTTTCCCTGCATTATGTGTATGAATTCAGGGGGAATTCTCCCTCTCTTAGGCTCCAAAATGTCTTTAAAATATAGTTTCCAGCTGAGTCTGAACATGGCTTCTTTCTCCATTTGTTAGGGATGGGGACCTGATTGTGGGATCTGATTCTAAAGATCCTTAAAAGGAAAAGGAATATCTTGCATATGTAGCTCTAGCAGCCACATGAACAAAAATTAATGTTATTATAACAGGTGCTTTTAGATGTGAGACTAAAGTTTTTATTCTCAGTCTGTGGAACAGTGCAAACAACTGTAGTGTATATATCCACTCTGCTTACTATTTTCCCCCCATCCTCAGCTGGTCTTTAAATATATTCTACTTGTTTAGTTATAAATATATTAAGCTTTGAAAACTGATTTCTAAATAGTAATAGCCTTTCTACCTGTGATTTTTGACCTTTATATGGTTTTGAGGTTCATTCTTTTGTTCAAAGAGCTGTCTGTGCTTGTCATTGAACCACATGATATGTAAGCGAAATCTCTTTATTCTATATATCATCACCAAAACCAAATCACCAATGCATGTCAGCACTTCTGGTGATAATCCTCTAAAGTCATCATTAGTTTATTGTGCTATAGACACTGGAAGTACCAGATGTCCAAATGAATGTGGCAATGAGTGGCAGTTGTGTAAATGCATATAAAATTCAGAGTTCTCAAGTAAATTCTCACCTGGTTGGATTTAGTAATCAAGCTTAAACTTTTCATATCGCAGCTGACAATCAGAAAGTGGCACTGTGAAGTAAGGTAGGTTTTAAATGTCTATAAATAGCCTTAGAAAATTCATTTTAAATTCAATATTTTTAAAAAGCCAGCCTTTTTCTAGTTTAGAAAACTGACTTGCATGTAACTAACTTACTATTGTGAAAATCCAGACAAACCAACACAAAGCTGAAGGCTGAAAATAATCAAAATAATTTTGTTCAAAAACAACTAGAAGTATAACATAAGTAAAGTTTTAATCCTATTTTTTGATATATACTGATAACTTACATTGATTTCTTTAAAAGTGACTATAGAGGTGTAGGAGAGAGACACTGATTCAACTCTCCTTTCCATTAGATTACAACCTATGAAATTCAAATCTCTGATCATTCAATTTTTTCCTTTCTTATAAACAAATATAATTTGTCATTATGCTGTTACAAGTTCTCTGTGATAATTAGAAAATAAAGTAGTATAAATTATTTCATATGGAAGAAGTTTGAGACTGAGAATGTGATCTTTTTAAAATCTAGAGTGAAAAGGCATTTAAATGATAAAGTGTGGCTACGAGGTTTCTCCTTCCTAAAGTTTAGCTTTAATATCTTAGTTAAAATCTTTTGCCATGAGTATGCTCCTTCCCTTTGGCCAAACTCTTTTTTTCCTTCACCTTCAAAGTAGTAATAGAATTTTGAAAGTAATGGCAGCGGTTTATATAAATAAAAGTGACTATTTCCTTCTCTCTGTGTCCCTTAACGCTTACTTAAAACAACTAAGGTATTAAAAACAATCGCAACAAACTCTTCTCACTTAGAAGGTTCTGCTTCTGGCACTTCCCTTTCTAGAAATGTTTATGTACTGCTTTTCCTATTGGTTTGTCATTTTTCTTGTCCAGTATGTTAATGAATTATATGAAATTTGATGCCCTTATCTTAATGAAAATACTAATGAACAGAAGACTCATAAGAGGTCTTTAACTTGTTTGAAGATAGACTTACAGACTCAGGTTGCTCTATATTATATGTGCTTGAGTTAGATCCAAAATCAGTTTGCTAAAACTGGAAGAAGAGAGTAGTAGTGTGCCTTGCTTGGGGCCACTAAGTCATGTCAAGGAAAGGTTCAGAGTAATGGCATGGCTACTGCAAATTACGAGTGTCTGAAAGGAAATGATATTGTATAACCTTCTTTACAAAATAAGTCTTACTATGTTATTTCCCCCCAACTTCTAAGCTGTACCAATTCAAGGTCTTGGAGAGCTGGGAACAAAAATTCCTGCTGAAATGTTGTGATACAGTCATATTTATAAGTACCCAAAGTGTTAATGGGCAAAAATAGACACGCAAACTACATGTCAAAAGTGAAAATCTTGTTAAGTGGAATATTTCAGTGAAAAGGAGTTTTGCATTTCTTTAGATTTAAAGACCACACAGAGTGAGATGTGTTTACATATGTAAGCTTAAATCTCTAGTTTGCTTGGTGTCAAACTGCCAATCCAATGTGACCTGTATAAAGACCTTGTTATAATTTGTCTCTGGCACCAGAGAAACTGTATAAAAGAAATTAGCATGCTTGCTTCAAACTTGTGCTTTTGAAAATTGCTTTGCTACAGTTTTAAAAATGACACAGGATGATAGGACATTTAAATGCATGACTGCGCTCAATATTAAACCATATATGGGAAGTACTGTCTAGATTTAAGACCAACCATGATCCCCTTAACACCTGTAGAGGAATGTGGGCAGTTCTGGATTCCAAATGGTTATTTTTCTATAATCTATGTAGCTTGGAACTTGTTCAGGGAATAAAAACATTCTAAGCCCCAATACTCTTTCTAGGAAAGAAAAAACCAAATGCTTATACATATTTAAATGAGGCCTTTTGAATGAAAATTTTATTATTGGTAATAGTGACAAAAAGCTCTTAGCTATTTTAAGGGCACTCAAAGGATATTTATGAGCATAATTTCCCATTTCAATTTCAGTAGACCATGCACTAGATGTGGTCTTTTAATGAACAAAACCAGAGTTGGGGAAAATTGCCCCAAGTTGAGATATATATATATATATATATATATATATATATATATATATATATAGATAGATAGATAGATAGATAGATAGATAGATAGATAGATAGATAGATAGATATATATATATGTATATGTATATTTTAGCACTGCATTCACTTTAAATTCTAAGAAGTGTAGGCTAGACTAATCATAAAGTTCTGCCAATGTGAATTTCAGGTTTTACTTTTCTAAGGTAATAGTATTCTTTTTAGCTTCTCCAATGTTGTATTTACTTGTATAAATGTGAATAAAATTAATACCTACAGGTAAATTATAATTTTGTGAAAAATAATTCTGAGTTGGTGTACAAATAGTTGGATATTAAAAAGGATCAGAATTTTAAATTTTAAGGATAAATTTTGCTTATTGGTGCCTTATTTTTTTATACAACACAGTCCCTAACTGCTTTATACCAATCTTCTTGGCTCTCACCCTTTCCTTCCCCAATTGAGTCTGTATAATATGGTTGTTTGTCTCTGAAGGCTTCATTAGATTATGTAGAAAGATTTAAAAAATCTACTTTCCATATGGAAAGACTTTGGACTTCACACCAATGCAACCTACCCATGACTTCCTATTCAGGGCAATTTTTATCCAACTTTTTACATGAATCCCCCTACAGAGGAACTAGTCAATATATTTCTTTCCCGTTCAGATATGAGCTAATTGTACATGGGTTACACATGTAAGTTGTTTTCTATTTCTTTATTTCCCTTTGATATGCTTCTCCCTCCTTTACCCCCCCCAAATACATTTTAAAATGATTTTTTAAAATTAGAAAAAAAATTCCCAATTAACAAAAATTGATTTTTTTCACCACTGGCAGGGGGCAGAAGGAAACAGAAAAAAACCATAGTTACATATACATAATCAAGCAAAAAAAAATTCCCACACTGGCCATGTCCCCAAAATACACGTTTCTTTCTTCACCCTTTAGTCCCATTACCTCTCTCAGGATGTGAGTAGCATGCTTCATCACTGGTCTTCTGAAATCATGGCTGGCCACTGTTATCTATCAGAGTTCTTACTACTTCCAAACTTGTTTTTACAGTGTTGTTATAGTATAAATTATCCTCCTGGTTCTCCTCACTTCAGTCTTGCATTGGGTCATACAGGTCTTTCCTGGTTTTTTGGAAACTTTCCTCTTGATCATTTCTTATGGCACAACAGTATTCCATTACATTCATATATATAATTGTTCATTCCCCAGTTGATGGGTACTCTTTAACTGGAAACCCCTTAGTTTCCTATTCTTTGCTATACAAAAAAAAATATGGGTCCTTCTCTTTCTTTGATTTCTTTGGGGGCATAGGCCTTGTAGTAGTGTTGCTGGGACAAAGAGTATGAATAGTTCCAAACTGTTGTTCTAGGGCGTATAAATTATTACATACTGTTTCTTGCCATCATTGCCCCCCCCATCATTTTTTGAAATGCAGGCAATGAAGCAGCAAATATGTATTGAATACTTATTTATTTATTAAGTACTTATTAAGCTAGATGCTGGGGATGCATAAAATCAAGACACACATAGACCCTATTCTCAAGGGTCTTATATTGAGGAAGATAAGAGAAAGCTGACATATGGGTAGAATATGACAAGTTGGAAGTCCAGAAAAAGTACTATGGGAAATTGGGGAAGGGAGAGATTACTTTTAGCATGGGGCCAGTGGAAGATTTGTGTGGAAGTCTCATGGCACCTGAATTTTGTCATAAATTAGAAAATGGAATATTGTTAACAGGCAGAGATTGGGGTGGGGTTGGACAAAGGGAACCTCTTTCAGGCATAGGAGGCAGCATAAACAGATACGGAGAAGGGAGACGACAGTAAAAGATGTGAGAACACTGGGTAGCTAAGTTTAGTTAGAGCACAGTAACTGACAGGGAAGAGCATAACAAAAGAAAGGTTGGAGCCAGATTGTGGAGTGCTTTTAATGTTCTCTATATAGAATAGTTTATACTTTATTCAGTAGACAATGAGGATTTTTGAGAAGAGAAATCACTGGATCATTGTAATATTGCATTAGGAGGATTATTCCAATCAAAATATAAAGCAATGGATTGGGGAGAGGAGATCACTTCATCAAGAACAGGTAATGCCAGGCTAAATTAATTTCCTTTTTCACTGAAAAACTCAAAAGTAATCAGTGAAATGTTCCAAATACAGTTTACCTAGTTTTGGCAAAGCATTTAATACAATCTGGTACACTCTTCTTGGGGACATCGTGGAGAGGTGTAGTACTAAAGGAGTTTGGAATTGGTTGGATTGCTGGGTGTAAATAGTAGCCATTAATAGTCTGATGTCACCTTGGAAGGAAGTCTCTAGTAGAGTCTCAGGGAGGTGTAGTTGATTTTGTGCTCTTCAATATTTTTATTGATGATTTGGCTAAACCTGTGGTTGGTACTTATCACATTTACAGGTGACAAAAAGCTGGGAGAGAGAGCTAAATTGGTTGGTAAATCAGGATCCAAAACAATCTCAACCTTAGGCTAAAATAATAAAATTCAATAAGGAAAAATGCAAAATCTTGCACATGAGTTAAAATCCCCCTTTATAAATCAAGATGAAGAAAACATGACTAGCACATTATCTGAAAAACACTTTAGGCAGTGGACTACAAGCTCAGTATGAATCAGTAAGATGAAATGACAGTCAAAAGGACTAACACAATCCTAAACTCCATTAAGAGAATACACAGGCTAGAATGATGGTGCTACTCCTACGATACTCTATCCTACTCACATATATGAAAGTTAATGTTTAGTTCTTGGTCCTCCATTTTAGGAAAGATATTGATGAGCTAATAGGATTTCTACAAAGGATAATCTACAGATTTAGGGCTGGAAGGGATCTTAGATGCCATCAAATGTAACACTCATTTTAAAAATATGTATTTTTTGGGGGGAAATCTTTTGTTTTTATATAGTCTATAATAGTTCCACCTGTATCCCTCTATCATCCCAACCCCCAGCATCATGCTTTATAACAAAGATTCTTTTAAAAAGAAAAAAATTCAGTAAAAACAATAAACACGTTGAAAAATTCTATATCCATGGGCCCCTTTTTCTACAGAGGAATGGGGGTGGGGGAAGGAAGTATCTTCTTATATCTCTTCTTTGGGGCCAAGCTTGGTCTTTTTAATTTTACAATGTTCAGTTTTAATTGTTTTGGGGTTTTTTTGGTGTTTTCCATTTACATTGTTGTTATGTATATTGTTTTCCTGGCTCTGCTTACTTCACTTTGTATCAGTCCAAGTAGGTATTTCTGTGTTTCTCTATTCACCATGTTCATTGTTTCACTGTGCTACCACATTCCATTAGTGTTTTGCCATTTCCCAATCCATGGCTAACTTTGTTTCCCATCTTTGCTACAACAACAACAAATGTTGCTCTACATATTTTGGTGTATATGTAGCCTTTCTTTTCAACACCACTATTTTACATATGAGGATTCTGAGGCAGAGAGAGGTTAAGGGACTTGTCCCTTATTAAATGGCTAGTATGCGTCTAAGGAAAGATTTGAACTCAGGTTTCCCAGAAAAGGGTGATGAAGATGGTGAGTGGCCTCAAGGCCATGCCATGCAGTTTAGTTGAGGGAACAGAGGATATGTAGCTTGGCTAAGAGAAGACTTGGGTAGGGGGGGAGGTCTTGCAACTATAGCTCTGAGTCTTCAA